CCAACAGGGACCCTCCCTCCCCTGCATGGTGCAAGACCTCCGGTAGGGTTAAGCTCTGGTGCAAAGGGATGAGGATGAGTATGTCCGACATCAGACTCACAAGGGGCTTCTGCACGTTTTAAAGGGTCTGCAAGAACACCTAATCAGCAGCAAAAAAAGAAGTGAAAAACTCATTTCCCTGCCCTACAACAACGAGGAGCTTGTGGAGGGGTCACCCCGTGCAGCGCACACCTCAGCAGTGACGGTGCAAGGAGCAGCCTTGTACGCTGAGGCTGCAGCAGCAACAAGGGGATGCCTGCGAGGGAGCACAGGCTATTGTTCAGGACCCAAGACCAGAACTGGTCATCCTACAGCAATTTCCTATTTAAACACTGACCCGCCTAGTCACTCTGACCGGGTTTAGCAGAACAAGCCACCGTCCTCTCCCGAGCGAGCCGCGAGCTGTCCCTGCCGCCTGCCTCCACACGGAGCTCGCCGTCTCCTCTTTCAGTTGGGTCCGTAACTGAAATCGCTCCTGAGAAAACGAAAGGCTGGGGGTTAGGGGGGGATCTGTGCGAGGCGTGCAGGCAGGAAGCAGAGCTGAGCTGCTCTCGACCAGAATAGAAACAGGAAACGAGCCCGGCATCGAGCATAGCACAGCCCACTGCCAGCGCAGGCTCCTGCGAAGCTGCATCAGCAGCTCTGTGAAGCAGCAGCTCTAAAGGGACGTTTGTTGGCTGTGAAGGTGGAGGGTTCCACGCAGCCCAGAGCCTGGGTGATGCAGCACGGGATGGGGAGGTTCCTCCTGAGCACTGGGGTCACATTAGCTCAGTTCCAAGCTGGAGGAAGAGGGGTGGGAGGAGAGGGAATTGCCACATGGACAAATAGCTTGGCAACACTGAGAAGCAGGTCAGAGGAGTGAAACACGTCCCTGGAGTGGCTGGAAGATGAGGGCAGCTCTGGAGGCAGCGCTCCACGCTCTCCACTGTTAGCAAAATAAAAAGGTTTCTTCATAAAGGCATCACCTCCTCAAAAAACCCCACAGAACAGTGCCACAGTCACACACCAAGAAGCCTCGGTCAGGAAAAAGACACGTTTCAACTCCCTGCATCATCACAACTTGGGATAGAAACCTTCATATCAGCATAAACTGGAATGCAGGGAGCTCTCTCATACCAGTGTTTCAGGTATTGTGCATCTCAGGGCAATCCTCCAGGTCCTCCTGTGTTTATCTGCACATCCAGCTGTGATGCCCAGGCACCACAGCATGCAACTATCCTGCTTTGAAATGCACACACCACTAATCCCTCTCTTAAGGCAAGCAATAAGACAAGCTCAAAAGGCCAAATACAAACCAAACAGAAGCAGGAAGTCCTGTATGGAAAAAGAAAAGAGCTTGAAGTGACCATCAGATCCATCTAGAAAAGGTTCTCTTCCCCTCAACAAGTTGACAAAACGATTCATTTTAAGCCCAAAGAGTTTATTTCCTGGGCTGCACCTTCCTTCCCATCCACAGCAGCTCTGAGGCAGTTTTGTGCTGCATTTCAGCCTGTTGCAGTGACCATTTCCAGGTCAGGGGACGCAGCTGACACAGCTCAACTTTATTCCACTTGAAGCACTCCAGAGTACAAGCTGAAATGAACCACTCAGTAAGAATGACACATCCCAATGGTGCTTTTGTGACAACATCCAGCACCCACATTCAGAAACCACTTAAGAAAGGCAAAAAACTCCCCCACAACTGCTGGGGATATTCACTGCAGGGTCTTTCTGCACCCATCTCCCCATGCAACCCGACTCTGCTAAATCCATGCTACAAGGACCCAAGACCAGAATGCGCATTCCAGAGTTGAACAGATCAGGAATTGGTTTCCAGTTGGTTATATTCCTTTCTGCCACTGCTCAGCTCTAAAGTCAGAGATGAACCCAAGTGAGACGCAGCTGAACAAACAAAACAGGTCTCCAGTAATGCAAAAGACAAAGATTAAAACAACTCCCGCTCCACACCAAGCTGAAAATAAGTTGCCCACTATAGGGAATGGGTTTCTCCCTCAAGCTGTGCAGTACACTGACCAAACCAAAGCAAGGACATTGTGGGGTGGGAGCTCTGAAACCTGCCCCAGTTTGCTTTGTGATGTATTCACTGCAACTCCACTGGAGCTCAAACACAGCTTTGCTGTTGGAGCTCCAACACCTTGCCAGTGTCTGTCCCTCCTGGTTTGGCCACACTTCCCACCCCGTGCAGAACCTCTCCTATGGGAACACTGCTGGAAACAATACCTCTCACAAACGTTTTGGTTTCCATTGATAGGAAAGCTTCACTGAAGAAATCCCAGAAGGTCCAGTGAAAAGCAAATACAAACCGATATATAATGATATCAAATCAGTGTTGCTCTATAAATGGCTTTTAGGGCCAAGCTGGAAGTCCCAACGCCACAGATACCAACTTCTGTGGCTGGGAAGGTATAAACAGCCTGGTGTGAAACCCACTCTTGATGCTCTACTCCTCCTCCACCTCAAAGCCATCAGAAACTTGCATTCAGCTCCTTCAAGGCAGCCCATCAAACAGAGTCTGAGGCAAGACAACAATCTGTTGCATATTCCATAACGAGACACAAAATTCCTCACAATGAGCCTCAAACTCCAGAGAACTCTGCAAAAGAACTCATTTGCAATCCAAACCCAAATGGATGTCCCAGCATCCTATCTGCTTCCCCTGTACTTGCTACCAGCACCTTCCATGTCTAAGCAGAAGGCAATTAGTAGCTGGAAATACGTGACTCTACAGACTCAGAATCCAAGCCTCCAAAGGTAAAAGACTCTGAATAAGCTGGATATGACTTGCCAGGGAGAATCCTTTGCTAAGAAGAAGGGACCAGGGAATCTCCTGGGAGAAACAGATTTATACTAAGGATTACTATTCCTCTATTACACCTAGACACAAAAGACCACATTTCTCCCATATCCAGCTGCAAGCTAAGTTTACTTGAGCTGCAATCCTGACAGAGATTCCCTAGGGAAGCAGCAAACTCTTCAGAGAAGTTCTTCACCTAGCCTGCTACAGGAAAAGAGTAACAAGACAGGACACCCGTGTGGATGCATTCCTCTTCAAAAGGCATCGGTGAGTTCGAGTTAGCAGGAGCATTCACCCCCAAAACCAGCAAGTATCATCTTCAGAAAGAGAGTAACAAATCAGGAAACACTGAAACCAGGACAGAATATACCCCAAGCAGAAACGGAATACCAGACATTCTGCTACTTACAGACAAAGCATTAGAGAAATCAGTAATTTCACTCTTCTGCTGTCAGAGGTCTGAACACAGGGACACCACCAGGAAAAAGTCTGGTTAGTGACACAAAAACCATTGTCAGGAGTGTATCTGGAAGACAATCAATGTGGTGGACCTTAACAAGGCCACAGGAGTTGAACAACGTGACAATGTCACCATCCAGGAGATGACCACATACCGCAACACTGATAGGATGAGCCAGAGAAATATTCCCCTCTTTATAGCTTTCAACTCCAACATTAATTATGATGTCCAGTATTAATGTGTAAAGGCACTGGGTACACAAGAGCCTAAAAAGCTGCAACCTCCTTTTCCTGCTGGAGCTGATCCCTGTTTAATTCGAGATGATGCCTGGCAGGATTTACCCTCATTCCAAGATGCCCAGTGAGCTGTTCCACAGCCCCACTGAGGCTTGGGAAAAGGCTCCGAACTCCACAAAAAATTAAAAGCCCACAAACTAACTATGCTTCTCTAAGTCATCCATAATGGCAAAACAGGGATCTAGGAATCCTCCTGAGCAGGATAAAACTTTCTAAACCAGACAGACTGAGCAATATAAGGAAGATAAAAAGAAATTGATTGCACCCTTCCAGGTAGCTCTTTTCTTTCTAAGCATCCCCAGGCCAAACTTCATGCACGAGATTGATCACTGAAACAAAAGAATTGGCTTCCATACACCTGGGAGGACCTCCCTTTAAAACAGTCCACAGCATCACTGTCTGATGCATTTCCCAGTTGACGAACAGGGATGTTGCTCTTGTCCTACAAGATCCTAACAAAGAAACACATTAGGAAGCACATACAAGGGTGAGTTTCTGCAAGGGGGACTCCCTTGTTTAACTTTTGCTTACCAAAAAAGGCCCAAAACCACATCAGGGTTGGGTAAGTGAAGGCTGCTTTATTTCTTAAATACAAATTATTTGGTGATACAGCCAGGGAAACAAGCTGACTATTAAAGTCTGCTCAAAACAGAAGTGACCTTTAGAGCTGGCCTATTCTAGAAGCTAACCCCATTCTTTGCACCCTTCAGCAAATCTCTGAAGGACCTCATGAGGAATTGGTGGACGTTTCATACATCAAACCTGGACGCAATTCCTTCATGCTTACAGCAGAGATGGCTATCTTTCCTTCAACTGCTTGGGAAAAAGGAACATTTGAAAGGGGCCACATACATTTTAACCACAAGGTATAAAACAAACTCCCACTTGGTGCTGAGAAGGAGCCACTTCTGCTAAGCAGAGCAACTAATTCCTATAATCTGAGTCAGAGGGCGCTGATTGGTAGGATTCAGGAAGGCCCCATCAACAATGCCACTGAACAGGACTTCCCACCGTTCCCAGCTACAGCAATTTCTTCAATTACTTCAGTGGCTTCACTTTTCCTACAGTCTTTGCCAGGAGATGGGTCACATGGAAGAACTTGTGGAGAGGCAGAGTGGAAAGAAACATGCTATTTAAAAGGATTTTTCCCCCCCCAGGCCTCAGAACAAATTAAATCTTTGTAATCAGGGTCCAAAAGGATAAAAAGAAAAGGGGAAAAAATAAAAGGGAAAAGAAAGGAAAAAGAAATAACCCACAACTACTCCCATTAGGTGGTCAGAACTAGAATCACTTTGTATTTTGGGTGACAATTTGTACCCACAATCCAAAGGAATTATTTCAAGGGGCTCCCAACAAAGCTGTTCTCATTGCTGAGGGCAAAAATAACTTTGCTATACACACAGCTCACTCTCCTCACACCGACCCAGCTGCAGCTTAGAAACCTGATTTAGCCAGTGGCTACACAACAAGAAATGAAAGCTCACTCACTTCCTACTGCTTCCAAGGAAAGCAACCAGGTAAATCAGAACTCAGCAGCTCAAAACTTCACCTCCAAGTCAGAGGCAGAGACCAACGTGTGCAAACTGATCTAAACTTTTAACCCTTCTCTGTTTTCGTGATGAAGTTTGAACCCAAACCTAAATCTGGTCCAAAAAGCTACAGAACACTAGGCACCCATCTCATACCCAAGTTCACTGTACATACAGCAAGCAGATCCAGAATGCAAAAGAAGATACAATTTTCCATCTGTGAAAGAAGGAGCTATCTGTGACTGATTTTCCTCACTCCAGGTACTAATAAACTTGCTTTTTGCCCCAACTGTTCAGTCAGATTGGAGCAAAGAAGCTTAAATCAACAGCGTAAGGATCCAATGACACAAAGGGAACCAGGCTGTTAGCCACCAGCGCAACAGTGGGCTGAAGGAGAAAGAACATAACATACAAGTGAGACCCTTTCCCCCTGAAGGTCGGGGTTTGCTCTAACAGGTACTTCAGACACTGCAAACAGAAAGCTCCAAAATACAGTCTTGTAGTTGGAACACGCAGACCAGAGGATTCAGGGTTAAACTTCACTCTCAAATCCATTACTTTTGTAAATTACATTTAATCTCCAGTGGGAAGCCAGAAGCTAATGACTTAGTAAAAAGCACAGGCAGCCTCCATCATTCCCATTTCCATGTGGAATACTACCAGTGCTAATTTATCCTGCTGTGCTTCTGATTGCCCTCGCCCCAGTCGCTTCTAGATCAGCTCACCACTCACCGGCAGGCTAGAAGGTCTGGACTGAAGATTCAAGTTCATATCTTCTTGCCCTTTACTGGAAGCCATTGAGGGAGCAGACGATGCCTGGGACCCAAATGAGTCTTGAGATAACTCCTGAAACATCAAGAAACACCAAAAACCCACAAAGGGGAATAAAATAAAGCCTCTGCCAGAATCACTCTGGTAAATTCTCACATTGTGGAAAAGTGCTGTACCCTTGGTGACATTTGCCCAAAATGGGAAATCAGATAACAAAGAGTACAAGCGATCATGCACAGGGCTCTGCAGGAGGACAAACACTGCAGCAGACACTTAAAACATGACAAAACACCAATTCTCTGGCTTTCCCTTATTACAGATCCTGAAGAAGAGGGACTGTCCTGGGAGACTGCCCACTTAGCTTCCTCATCTTCCAACATCTTACCATAGCTCCAAGTACTTCATTACACAAACAAGGCAAGCCAGCGACAACCTTCAACTTCTCTAAAGCTACCTTTGATTCACTGCAGTGTTTGCTGAAAGGTCCCTGCCAGCTTCTCACACAACTATTACCAGAGTAAGCCTTGCTGAAAAGAAGTACAATTTACATAAAGAAACAGCTTCATGATTTGATCTGCAATTCCATACACTTGACTATCTCCTCCCTAAAGCCAAGCTTTACATGTAAGAGCTAACTCTTCCCTCACGATCCACGAGTCACACTGCTTTTTGTGCTACACCAAGTAACTCTGGAGAACACCTGGAGAACTTCCACAGGCCACAAGGGGAAAACTATCACATTATGAAATCCTTTGGACTCGGGTGGCTGATCAGCAGCATTTACTCAACGGTAGTCTTCAAAACTGCAGTACCACCACTGTAACATCTCTCTGTGAGAGATACAGATCTAGACACGACAGAAAAGGCAGCACCCCTGCTGATGTGTTGTTCAACCGACTTTTAGTGCACAAAGGAAAGGATCTGCCCAAGTTAAAAAGAACTCAGAGAAGGAACCAAAGCAGAGGATGTCCTACCTGAGGAGGAGGGAAGCGTTGCTGGGAGTATGCAGACTGCTGCTGCTGCGGCTGTGACTGAGGGTATGAAGATGACTGCTGAGAAAGAGCCGAGGAAGCTGTCTGCTGAGTTTGTTGCTGCTGCTGGTAGGGCGACTGGGACTGCTGCTGGGAGTAGGGAGGCTGACTCTGTTGATGCTGCTGGGCTGAGGACTGCTGCTGAGGATATGGAGTTGGGGATTGCTGATGGGGCGGCTGGGACTGCTGCTGCGAATACGCAGGCTGCGATGTCTGAAGCTGTGGAGGTTGAGACTGAGGCTGTTGCTGCTGCTGATAAGAAGGCTGAGAGTGAGGGGTCTGGGATGGAGGCTGCTGAGAGTATGGAGGCTGCTGCTGTTGGGGATGAGGGCTTTGCTGGTTGTAATATGGAGTCTGGCTTTGCTGCCCATATGCACTGGGGCCCTGCTGTCCATAAGGAGGAATCTACAGACAAAAAAGGACAGAGTTATATACCAGTTATGAAGGTTGTTTTACACACACAAAATAAGATTATGCTAACAACTAAAAATTCAGAGACCTGTGCAGAGCAGCTAACTGGGAATATACTGGAAATGCCACTACCTAGAGACTTCCCAGACAACAGCAGAAGCCATTCATGTGTGACATCATTCGTGGCAGTAATAGCATTTTAATAGGCACCATAACCAACTTTTTAGGGATCTTTATTTGACCACCCTTCAACATTAGTAACACTGAAAGGAAGGACTGCTTGCTCCAGAAAAAGGCAGCCTTTTCAGCAGTCCTGCACACAGTCCAGCAGGAGCCACCTGGATCGTGTCATGAGCCAAAACTGACCTGAAGTCATTTCTTCTGTAGAGAACAGCCATGTCTTTAACAGAACACAGCAGAAAGAGTATCTTACTCCCCTTGCTGTTTATTTTTCCCTTGTTTCAGTGACCTGGCATTGCCTCTCCTGGAAGCAAGGATTCCACAGGTCCTTGTACATCAGTCACACCTGGATCCAGGTGTGGTGCAACACATAGCCTGAAGAAATGCCATTTTCCCAGAGCAACCGATTCCAACCTGGTTGGCGTGATCCCTTCAGAAGACGCAGTACTCTGCTGCTCTTCTGCCTGCCCCTGCTCTGAACAGAGACTACAGAAGCTTGGGTGCTCTACCTGCTGTGCATATGAGATGCTGCCCATTGTACTTTGCGTCCTGCTTTGCATTCCCATGGGATATCTCTGGGGAGTTTGTGGTCCATAGGGCTGTCCTGGATAGCCATGTCCTTGCTGTGGCCCAGCCTGAGGTCCCTGTTGTTGTGTGTATGGGTTGTTTCCTCCATACGGCTGAGGCCTCATCTTCCCCATCTGATCCATTGGGCTCGAAGGCTGCAAAGCAAATCACAACACATGATGCACATCCAGGAATCGTTCACAACTTCCCCAGTCCCCAGAAGGAAGCTTCAACAGGTTGGTGCAGGGAAGCAGCAGCTCATCTGCCTCTTCCCAGGTGCTAAACCCCACAGTCACATCCTGAACTACAGCAGGACTCCTGCTGCCCTTTCAAACCTACAGACACAAAGAACAAGCCCAAGGAGAAGAGGTCATTTTATGCTGATGTATCTCCCGTGGCCAGAGGACACCAGAGAAAGGGGGAAGGATCATTAAGAAAGATGAATTATCAGTGGCAGTGGCTTTTCCCATGGCAGGCACTAGTTTAATATCCAGATATTCCACAACAAGGTGCATTTAGGCTGAAAACGTAAATGCTTCTTTCCCATGTAACAATGTCTCTGAACACACTACAGGCTGTTAACTTACACACTTCAACTAATCCATATTGCTGTATCAATATCAGGCAGTGCTACTGACGTTCCCAGCATTCAAGACTGCAGTTCCGGTTCTGCATATTTCACACAGTGCTTTGTGTGCGCTGCCTTTGAGGAAGGGCTCCTAAATCAAACTTCTTTGGAGGCATGAGAACAGAATTTGTCAGCTTTGAAAGACGGGGCCCTGAGTTTGATGCCCAGGCAAGTGAATAAATGCAACTTCCCTGGGACCTCCTTGGACTGCCCCTGCCTGAAGCCAAGCCGTAGCAACAGTCAGTCAAATGCTCTCAACGTGCTATCAGAGTCTTGCTACCCAAGTGATGCTGCTTCCACACTAAAGCAAGGACTGTTTTGCTGTAGTGACCTCCTAAATGAATCCCAGGCGCAGTCTTTAACCTCCATCGCTCAGACTGAATGCGAATTGTTCGCTGATCTCCCGATGACCTAACTAATACCAATTTGATGTTTTCCACCCGATCACCATGACAATGGGCTCTCTATTACACCATTCCTTCCTGCAACTAGCCCTAGGGTGGTATTTGTACAGATCCACCCTCTCTTGCTGAGATCAGGTGCTTGAGGAGTGGCACAACAGGCCCGCACAAGCAAGTATCGCACAAAGCCAGCTCCTGCTGGAAACCAGAGAGAGAATCCTGGAGACCAGAACAGGGTTTCAGTTATGCCTGCAGAATCCACCCTTCCTAGGGAAAAACGAAGTTTGTGCAGTGTGCTCCACTGGAGAAAACCCTGCCCCACCAGCCAGCACAGCTTGAAGTCCCAACACAGACCCTGAGCACATTTGTTTGACCAGCTGTCTGCTCTGGCTTGCCTGCCAAAGCAAAGCCACACAGCACCGAGCCCATGCCAAGCCCAAGGAAGCAGGGACACAACGGGGAGTTAATGGTACTCTTGTGGGGCAACAGATCTGGGTCATAGGAGGGAGTTTAATGGAGATGGCAGGAAAAGCACCACAGGTTTGGTAAAGGGGGGGAACCCACTCAAGTGCAATCGGGCTCCCTGAGACAAATTTGCACCAATACGGCATAAATCAACTGAGAACCAGATCCAAGTCCCCTTTCTCCATCCCAGTTCAGCATCAGACACCTCAGACTGGTGCCTGCAAAACCAGTGTATGCCGTTCTATGGAAGCTGTTCACGAATGACCACACACATGGCACCAGTGGGATTCCCTCCCTCAAGGCAGGTTTTAGATGCCGTGCCCTGCTCAGCTGTGCTGGATGTTTCCAGTTTTGCCCATACTGATACTAAAACAGTCACATTTTATGGTTTATATTCAAGTCATCACCCATGCTACTGCTGAGGAGCAACGGGA